GCATAGGCTGCAAAGCAAAGGGTCGCCAGTTCGATTCCCAGTCAGAACACAAGCCTGGGTTGCGGGCCAGGTCCCCAGTGGGGGACACATGAAAGGCAACCACACACTGATGTTTCTTTCCCTCTCTTTCTTCCTCCCTTCCCCTTTCTCTAAAAATAAATAAAATCTTGTCAAAAAAGGTTTATAAATAAATTTGTACCAATCTCAAAAATCAAATAATCCCAGAAAATGGACTATAAGGTTCTAGACCATCACTACGCAATAGAAATATAATATGAGCCATACACATATTTTATGTGTAAGAAATAGGTGAAACTAATTTTAATAAATTTTGTTAACACAATACATCCAACATTATTTTGGCATATAAATCAGTATTAATAAGGTATCTTACTTTTTTTATAATAAGCTTTCAAAATCTCACATGTATTCTATCTACACTCACAGCACATCTGAAATCGGAGTAGCGACATTTCATGTGCTCATTAGCCCCATGTATTGAGCATCTCTATTATTAGACAGAAGGACGAGACAAACCATTTCACTCTGCAGATGAAGACACTGAACTGAAAAAAGAGGTTACGGGGCTTGGTAACCAGCTGAGCCAGGCCTAGAATTCTTACTTCTTAACTCCCCGGTGAATGTTATTTCCGCTTGATGGGACTGTTGTCAGTCCTGTGTTTCATACCCGGGAGACACAGGACAGTATCAAATGATGGCAGGCCACGGACGCCTGGCATGGAAGGGACTGTCAGACCACATGAAACCAGAGCTCGCTGTCGAAAGAACACGTACGGCTGAGCCAAGCGATGCCCAACAGCAAATCAACAGACTAGATATCCCCTCAATCGATGAGCCTGAATGTTTTGTTTCTACAAGTCCAGCGGTATTACATAGTGACACATGTATATGATTACTGGTGCCTAAACTAACCACGCTCAGAGCAGTGAAAGCAGAACAGCATGCACAAATTGAAAGGTATTTGAGAATTAAGGCTTGCATGATGCTTTGCAGAATTCCCTGGACCCCAACCTCTACTCTGCTGGTAAACATTACGAAGTAATCTGCATGTAAGTGAAGGAAGTCAGAGAAAGACAAATACCATAAGATTTCATTTATATGTGGAACCTGAAGAACAGTACAGACAAACAAAACAGACACAGACTCTAGACACAGACTCTAGACACAGACTCTAGACACAGAGGACAGGCAGATGGCTGGCAGAGGGGAGGGGCTTGGGGACTAGGTGAAAAAAGGTGAAGAAGGGATGGAGAAGTACAGACTTCTCCAGAAGTAGACACAAAATAGTCTTGGGGATGCAAAGTACAGCACAGGGAACATAATAATAACAACATACTATGTATGGTGTCAGACAGACACTGGAAATTCGTGAGGGGGCACGTGATGGGGTATAAATAAATAAAGTAAGTAAGTAAGTAACTATCCATTTGGAAAAAAGTGATCTGCATGAATAAGAAAAGACTGTCGCAATTTGCTTAAACTACTCTGGGGGATAAAAAAACAGGGAGGGTAAATGGCAAATGTAAATAAGGTGATGAGAAGAAGGTAGTTTATTGAACTATTCTTTCTACTTTACAGATGTTTGAAACTTTCCATAATAAAAGGTTTTTTTTAAGAGGGAGGAAGGAGACCCAATCTCAGGAAAAAGGTTTTTCTAGAGCCTTGATACTATTTGTTCTAGCTTTATATATGTTTGAAGCTTTACATAATAAAAAAAAATCTTAAAGGGAGGAAGTGGGAGGAAACATAATCTCAGAGAAAGGTTTCCTACAGCCCTGATGCTAAGATACTACGGCTTTCTGAAATAATTCCAAGAGTCCTGGAAAAGGTGTAGACATTTTAATTTTAAGAAAACAGACTGAAGAGCAACAGTAGGGGAAAGAGGGAGAAAAGAAAGAAGGGGAAAACATTGTGAAAGCACCAATACCCTGAAAAAAAATCACTGTCAGCAACTCAACATCCATCCTTCCAGATATTTTCCTGTTTGCATGTATTAAAATATGTTGTATTTTCTAAACTCACAAAATGGGATTATTCTCATGGGGCTGTTCTTGAGTCAACACCCATGCATTTGGGGATGACCACCTTCTGTGTAGCTCTCTGTGTGGGTGACACTCTGAGAGCTGGGCACGTGACAGGCCCAACACCAAGCAGATCCCCTTTTCTGGGGATTCAGATCCTGAGCCACAGGGAGGGAGGCAGCTGGAACAGAACCGCCGGGCAGTGATGTCCAGGACAGAAGGCCCGTAAACTCCAGCAGCTGAGGTCCTCTGCTGCAACCTGGTCTTCCTTTGTGCTCAGCTTCGAGGACCTATCCCCGTACCCTTCTTATACACAGTTTTCTTATTTAAACTACACAGAATTCATCCGTGTTGCTGGAAGTGAAAGAAGAGCTTGTAATAATGCATTAATTTGCTGGGCACCATTCTAAAACCTTTACATGTGTTACCTCATTGAATTCTCACAACAATCCTATGAGGTAGATACTACATTTTTAATTTTTTTATCCCCACCCCCACTACCACCCCAGACAGGACTTTTTATATATATATTGCTTTTACAGCGAGAGAAAGGGAAAAAGAGAAACATTGATGCGAGGGAGAAGCCCCGACCCAGGACCAGCAACAGGATCAGGGGTCACACACAGCCACACCTAAACCAGCCACAGAACCTGCAAACCCAGGTAATGTGCCCTGACTGGGAATGGAACCCACAAGCTTTCAGTTACAGGATGACGCTCCAACTGAGCCCACACTGGCCAGGGCTAGATACTCTTATTAACTCCATCTTTGAACAAAGAAAACTGAGATCCAGGCAGATCTAAATAAAATGCTCCAACTCACAGCTACTGGTCGTAGAACCAGAATGTGAACCCAGGCTGATGGATCCTATACTTCCTAAGTTATAAACCCTCCAATTAAGCTGCTCTATGACCTGCTTTTTCTGCTAATAATATTTTAATTTTAATCATATCTTCCCATGTGGGAAAATACATCTTTTCTAATGGCCATAGTAAATTTCATAACATAGATTTTCATAATTTAACCATCTATCTCCTATGTTGAGAAGTTTAAGTTGTTTGTAGTTTTTTAATATCATTTTTTCAAAGGTCTATAACTGTCTTATTGGTTAATTTGAAGGTACATCATAACTCACTTGTAGGTTAAATTTTTGGCATAAACTTGCCAGGTAAAAGAAATGTATACTTTCATCCCCATTCTATTATCCACTGTCAAATAAAGATATTTGTTTTCAAATCTGGTTAAGAAATATGAAAGGGAACAAAGTTAGTTTGCCTGTGGGCATTCACATGCGTTCACATACTCAACATGGAGACACTGTGCTCAGCTGAGAAAAAGACTCTGTTCTTGAACTAGAACTGACGTTTCCCAATCAATGCCAAAAACAGTTCAATCCCAGGGCCACAGGTCTGCCTGAGCCCAGCTTTTTACTGCTCCTTTGCTGAGGTGACTCTAAAGGGCATTCACTCAGGGATCAGTTGTGGAAAAGGTAAAGTGATAAGCAAAGGTGTTGCTCTAACTTCTGAAATCTGTCCTCTGCACTGGCTGCTTCAAAAATCAGAACTTATACTATTTTTTAAATATTTTATTTATTTATTTCTTTTTAGAGAGGGGACAGGAAGGAGAAAGAGTGGGAAAGAAACATCAATGTGTGGTTGCCTCTCATGTATCCCCTACTGGGGACCTGGCCTGCAACCCAGGCATGTGCCCTGACTGGGAATAGAACCAGCGATCTTTGCTTCACAGGCCCGTGCTCAATCCACTGAGCTATACCAGCCAGGGCAGAACTTATACTATTTTAGATGCCACTTAAATCAACATGGTGATGCAACTATTAGCATGTTTATTTCATTTGTGAGATCAGTGTTCTTTCTCTACTTCCCTTTTCAGGTTACTCCAGGACAGTAACTTCCTGGGGAGATCATGCTCTCCACAGTTTCGCCCTGTTAAGTATTGAGATACTCTGTGGCTGAGTACAAAATAAAACCTGAGACTCGGCGTAACACCATGCTGACCTTGAAGGTCAATGCTGTACCATTTGATATCAGCTGGAAGCTTGTGAGAAAAATGATGTCAAAAAGAAGCCACCCACTTATAAATGGTCAGGTGGAAAATGCTACTTTAGTGAGAATATTTGCAACACTGGACAGTAAACCGGACATAAAGACATTCTTTGGGACGCTGAATAACTGAAGGCAAAAACGTAAGTATAATCTTCCAAGATCCTTTATGAACTAGAATTTTAATATCTAAGGAAAACTACCCATATTACCCATTAACTTTTATCTACTCAAACATAATACAATTTTAAAAAATAACCTCAAACTAGTATGAGGTCAAGACCGTATTAGCACAGTCCAGTTGAGTAACTCTGGCAGAGTCTGTCCTGCCAGCGTGGTGATTGACTACCTTGTAGGAACAGATAAAGCTGAATGGAAAAATATGAGTAAACGTTTCCTGAGCACAACCCCAAGGAGGAAAGAGCCATCAGATGAAGGAAACTAAAGAATAGGAAGATAAAATGAAGCATTTCCAGAAAGTAGAGGGAACCAGAAAATAATAACAGCAATAAGACAACCAACTATTCCACTGAAGTTTCAACCTTGGGGGGGCCACAGACCTGCAGGTCCCCATCGGAACGAATCAGGACTCCCTATACATGTTACTCTAGCTCGGCTGTCCCATTCATCTTACCTGGCAACCCCCCAGTGGAACGTGGCTCTCGGGGAACAGGGGAAGAACCAGTGCAGACAGTGCAGGGTTTGTCTCTCCCATGAAGCGCACCCCCCACCCAAGCAAATTCACGAGACTAAAGAGACTGTTTTGTTGTTGTCTCATATAGAGTTTGGTTAACCCAGAGTTCATGATAAGTTTGCTTAACCCATGGAATTTATGTAAGTTAGAACTTTCTGGCAACAATGACATCATGTGAGTTTCCTGGAAGGTTTAGGGACTCACCTAGGGCATGGCTACAGCTCCGGCAGGATTCTGTCAGACTGACAATCATCTGCTGCAGATCGGCTCTGGGGGGAGTGGGAGAAGGGTTGGGGTTTTTCCAGCCATTGCATTTACAAGACTCCTCAGCCTAAAAAAAGGAATAAAGAGACAAAATTATGCAACAGACTGAATCTTTTCCATGAGAACAATACACACTAGTTATATGACAGCTACCCTTCCGCTCCTGACTTTATAATTTTCTAAATATGCACAAGAAACAAAAAGGGAAAAAAGGCAGAGGGTATCAGATTCGAGCATTTGGGGTTTTGTTGCTATTGCGTTTTCTGCTGGCTGGACTCTGAGTCCTGCGGCCCACACAGCAATCCCAGATGCTTTGGTGCCCCTGCCCCAAGCAAATGTCCACCGAGAGGTCAGTCCATCCACAAAGCTTCCCACAGTGAGAAGCCGGATTCCTGAGGTCTCTAGAACACAGCTGGGGCCCAAGCTATGATGGGTGAGCCTTGCTGGCTCCCAGGCTCCAGCTGCGGGTCTGCCCCAGGGGCCAGAAAGGAAACACGTGGAAATGAAGAAGTTAGCAATCCTCAGGACGTACAGAGGGACGCACCCAGCTGAAGCCACACTTGTCCAAGTCTTCTGTGGACTCCTAGCTTGACAACACGGAGAGGCCCCATCAGACAGTCTGGGATCCCTATCTGTGCCTGTTTGCTGCGCCTCCTGTACTAGGCCGCTGGGATTTTAGCAACACTTGGTAGAAACCTTCCTTAACTCTTTCCAGAAACTCTCACCCTCACCTACTTTCTTAGAGAACAACGAATGTGATTTAGCCTTTTGGGGGTGACTTGGGTTATGAAGAGGAAGACAAACATGGAAAGCTATTGGTTATTTTCAGTTGCTCTACCAAGCTACCACACTGCATACTCCGAGGGCCCTAAGGGCTGGGAGGCTGGCATGTTTGCAGTGAGTGACTCCAGCCACTTCCACCCATTCCCTGCTGTTGTTTACCACTCCGTGAATTTAATGTTTTGAATTTGCTGTGGCTGGGAAACCAGAAAACTGTTAGAATAACATGCAGCATTGGCTGAATCACTCTGGGTGGGAGTTTTCTGGGTACACGTCCAGCAGGGTAGCCACTTGCCTCCCATGGCTACTGAGCACAGGAGCGCCCAAGTTGAAATGCACTGTAGATGTCCAATACATACCAGAGTTAGAAGGCTGGTACAAAAATAAAGCAAAATTTCTTATCAATAATCTTCACTATTAATCACATGCTGAAACACTGGTACTTTAGATACATGGAACTGAACAAAAGATACTAAAATTCATCTGACCTGGTTCTTTCTCCTTCTTTAATGTGGCTACCAGAACATTTACAATTACACCTACGGCTCATATGGTATGCCTAATAGGCAGTGCTGGTCTATAAAACAAATTGCATGGATTTCTGTGCTTGGACTTTGGGTTAGAGCTTGGTTCCCTCGGAGGCCTTCTCTCCCTGCAGTGGCCTCCCCACGCCGCCCCGTGTCTACCAGACAGCTGGCGTTAGTAGAAGTCTGATTTGTAGAAGATTATAGAATGGCTGCTGCCTTGACCACATACAGAAAACTCTCCAACACAGGGACAGTTCCCAAAGTATGTGTATATATAGAAGAGTAGGAGAAAAAGAATAAGTAATTGGCAAGGCAAGAAGGGTCAAGGGGAAAGAAGGAAAATCTGCTTTTGAAGCGAAGTCCTTTTCATTGGCCCTGCAAATCTGGCAAGCCCCAGCCTACTGCTTGTCGCATTTCACCACACTGAATATGGAGAAGGCAGGACCAAAAGCAGGACCCTACGTCAGCAACCACAAAGGCACAAGTGCTCGTAAGTAGCTCAAGTGACCCTCTTTCATTTTGCCAGGTGTCAGGAAGGACCTGGCCGTTACCCCACTGCTCTGATACTAAGCTGAACTGGGCCTTGGAATTCTCTGCAATGAGCCACCCACCTCTTCTGAGACTGGGAAGATCTCAGACGCTGTGTTCTTGAGGAAGACGCTCATGAGAACTTGCATCCCTACCAGCTTTGTAGGAACAGAGGAAACCAGCCCCTCGGTGGACCGCTCCTCTCCTAATAGTGGAATAGCTACTTTGATGAAGTCCCAAACCCTCCGGCTTTTCTGAGCAGTTGGCCTGATCTGACTGCGCTTTCTGTCTCTTTGGTTAGAGACAGAATAATGACAAAACAGTCACAACAAATCAATTAAGTATGGCAGGCCAAACCTCAAAGGAAAAAACTGTAATAGCCAGAACCTTCAAGTTTGGAGAACAGCATTCTAAGCCAAAGAATCACTGGCAAAGAATCATATTGAGGCATTCATTCAAGAGTACAGACTGAGGGCCTACTATGTGCTGGGTACTTTTGCTAGGTATGTAAGGGAACAATGATCCTGCCCTCGTGGAAATGACACAGGGGTGCTGGGAGATGAGAAAACAGGCTACACAAAAAAGTGATTATATAATACATTTGTAAGTGATAGTGCTATGAAATGAAAGATGAAGACATGAGGAAAGGAGAACTGGGGGGAGAGGGGGAATAGACTTATTTTAATTATTCCTGAGTATTTTCAAGAAGGTGGCATTAAAGCAAAGACTTGATGGAACAGAGGAAGCTGACCATTAACTATCTGGTGGAAGAGTGCCCCAAGCAGAGGGAACAGCCAATGCAAAGGCAAAGAGTACCTGGCTTCATTAAGAGCCAAGACTAGTGTGGCTAGAGCATAGTAAGTAAAGCAAACAGTTGTAGACATTAAGGTAAGTGGGGAGTGGAAGGCATCCTATAAGGCCGACCCAGCTTGTAGGCAATTATAAGGACTTTAGCTGGTTTATGTGATCTGTCCTGTCCTCAAATAGATCTCCCAGGTATGAAACAGGGATAAGGACGGAACATAAGGGCATGAGGCAGACGTCTTCAAATGCCCTTGTTTCTCTTTCACTATTTGTTTCGGTCATTATGGTAAAGCATCCCCACTTTCTTTTCTCATTAAAAACAGTCACTGAAGCTTAAAAAAAAATCCATCCATTTTCCTGTCAGTGATTTCCTGACATCCTATTTCCGTTTTCTTTTAAACTGCCTGGTCAGGATCTACCATGCATTCTATGGCACAGGAAAGCACAACAGTCACTAATACAATCTCTGCCATCGGGAGGGACACACATACATATGTGAACATATGGCCTTGGCCTTAGCCAAGGCCCACCAAGGAAACACAGATTCTCCTAAATCATAAAGACACCAAGTTGTCTAGGTAAGTGTTTCATTTCTTATTAAGGCCCGAGATTTACTTCAGGGTAGGGGTCAGATGGGTAATGAATGAAGTTCAAAACTCCAAAGAAGCATGGGATTTAGGAATCAGTCTGCATGTGCCTTTGTAACCATTTCAGTTTTGACAAACATGATGGATTTTGCATCTCTGGACACACTGGCAACCATGCTCTAAGTCTCCTGCAGCAGGTGTCCTTGGACAGGAAGTCAATGTGGCAGGAACTCTGTATGAATCAGACTAAAACCAACCATGGCCAGCACTGTGACTCCATGTCTCAGAGACACAGTCAGCTAGTTAAGCATGAAGTGCCTTCATTACAAGGAAGTTTGAGAAGCCAAACTTGCTCTGAATCAATCCAAAAGTTTTGCCAGCCTACACTCTACTTCTGCAGGAAGTTCCAACAACCTCGACAAAGCACCACTTCTTGGTTCCAAACACGCATCCACAGGTCAGAAATCTCAGTGCTACGCTTGAGGTTGACGCCTATGGGACCTTACCATTGTTTTTCACACAAGACAGGGTTAGGACTGGATTATTTCAGAACACAATGCTAATGATGAACATTTTCTTTGCATTTGGGGGGTAATGAGCAGAGCACAGAGAGGAGAGGGACGAGAGTAAACTAAACACGAACTTCGGCTCTCATGTACCTCTCATCTCATCTAGCTATTCATCAAACACTGAGCACCTACCACATGTCAACACAGGACTGGATACTAGGGACACAAGCAATCTCTGCGGAAATCAAAATCTACCCCAGTGGTTCTCAAACACAGAGAAACAGTGGAAGTACTCAGGAGCTCCTTAAAGCTCAAAAGCCACACCTGACTCCAGACCAAGTCATAATCTCTGGGGACAGGTCACAGGCATCAGTATTTTTTAAGCTAGTGAGTCCCATGTGTAGCCAATGATGAGCAGCTCTGATCTAAAAGAAAAGGACACTAGCAATGGATCCATTAAAAAACAACATGCTGGATCATACGATAGGTCTGGTCTCAATTTTTCAAGGAACCTCCATACCATATTCCATGGTGGCCGCGCCAATGTACAATCACAGCCACTGTGTACGGGGGTTCCCTTTCCTCCACGTCTTCTCCAACACTTGTGTTTTCCTGTATTTTTGATTAGTAGCCACTCTAACAAGTGGTTTTGATTTGCATATCCCTAGTAATTAGAGACATTGAACTGTTTTCTTGTGCCTGCTGGCCATATGTAGGTCTTCCTTAGAAAAATGTCTGTTTAGATTCTCTGCCATTTTTTAATCAGGTTGTTTGTTCTTCCTGTTGAGTTGTATGAGTTTTTAAAATATTTTGGATATTAGCCCTTATCAAAAATAGCATTTGCAAATATCTTCTCCCATTCTGTTGGTTGTCTTTTGGTTCTTTCCCCTTCTGGGTTCTCCAAAGATTATGAAAACACTAATTCAAAAAGGTGTATGTGCACCCCTATGTTCACTGCAGCATTATTTACAATAGCCAAGATACGGAAACAACTTAAGTGTGCACTGACTGATGAATAAAGATATATGATACATACATGCACACACACGCACACATACACACACACACACAATGAAATACTACTCAGCCATAAAAAAGATAAGCTGTTGTCATCTGCAACGACATGGATGAACCCTGAGGGGATTATGCTAAACAAAATAAGTCAGATGAAAAAGGACAAAAATTGTATGATTTTGTTCACACGTAATACAAAAAACAAACTTAGAGATATGGACAACAGGTTGGTGGTTAGCAGAGGGGAAGAGGGGGAGGGGAGCAATAAATGAGTAAAGGGGGTCAAATACATGGTGCTGGATAAAAACTAGAATTTGG